GACTGAATGAGAGCTGTTTCAGTACTGTGTTACGTCTAAATCCTGAAAATAATCAAATAAATAACGAGTTGACAACTCTGTCACCCAACGATTCTATCTCGTCTACAAACCACGTTTTGTCACGAAAAAAACGCAATAAATAAATATTGAGCCAATACCCAGCGAAGAAGAGAACACAACACGTGAATATGGACGTCAGACAGAAACTAGTGCTGCACACTCTTTGCGCGACGATCTGCTCTGAGGAAAAAAAATAGAAAAACTAAGATTTACCTGGTGTCCTCAACCCATGCGTTGCTCTGATTGGCTGTACTCATGACATCACTGAGCTTCAGTCGCGCGACGGCTCTGGATATCTAGCAGGCTAGATATTTTTCTGGGCTCGGCGAGGCGTCTGCGAGCGGTTTCGCTGCGTTGTTGGCTCTAAGCATAAGGTTTCAAATGCATCTCCTGTGATCACTTTTGTTCGATTTCGTTCAGACCCTCCCCTTTTAATTTCTTCTCACACTACATAATTTTGCTGGAATGGAAAGTATTCTGTCCTATATGCTGTTATATTCTTTCCTCTTCCTTTTTTTTTGTAAAACTGAAATACACAAAGGTTACATTTGTCTTGTTACAAAATAAACACAAATGAATTTACATTGATTACAAATATTCTCTGTATATGTACCGAAAGGCTACACTCATTTCTGCTCTGCTTAGTGTTAACTAATTTCCATCACTATTGAATAGTTTGCTTTTAAACTCAAACAAAGTAATTTCATAAATATATATATGCACATAAATTCATGCAAACACTGAAAAAAAGGTAATAAACTTACAGGCAAAGCCTTTCCGAGGCACAGAAATGTGAGGAAAACAGAGAAGAGCCTTGTTGACCAACCACATGGAAAGATACAGGAACACTGCGGTATTTCCTGGTTAACCTCAAACCCAAGAGTCACATGATCTAAACCAACCACTAAGAATCCATCTTACAGTTATCAATTTCTTTGTAATAACACCAAACTGCCAAAAGATGGTGCTAAGAAATAAAAAACAAATATGTCCCATGACAAAATCTCACAAAAATATGATTGAATGGATAAAACGGTGTTACACAGTTTACTAGAGAATGGGAACGAATAAAGAAAACCCTGCTCTTTTCAGGCACATTGTTATTATTATTTGTATTAAGAAAACAAAGCAACACAGATAAGGACGAACACAAAAAAAACATAATTTTATTTTGTATAATTAATCAATAGGGCTGGGGGAATTAACGCGTTAGTCTTTGCAATCAATGA